TTTACGATAATTCAAGGGGAAGCGCTTTACTGTTTGAAGCGAGATCGGGTTGCCTTAGAACGCGTAGTTATAAAGCAAGATTCAGTAAAGAAGAAGAACAATGCACATGCTGCGGGAAAGATAAGGAAACGGCGGAGCATGTTCTGATTGAATGTGGAGATATCCACCCAGGTGTACGTTTGGGCACGAGCCTACAGGAAGCCTTGGGTTTTAGGGACAACAATGGAAAGCTGAACACACCCGCGATTGAAATAAGTAAGAGACGGTTAGAGTATTGGTGGCAGAAAATTAGAGAGAAAGGACAAAAATAAATATTGGAAAAATAAAATATGGACAGTGTGCCGTAAATGGCAGAGAACTTAAGCTGAAAATTTACCTTTTTTTCCATTAAGATAGAATTTATCGAAGTAGAGGCATTAGGCCAACATAAAAAAAGAAAAAAGGTTGTTTTTTTTTTCGAGCCTGGTGGCATACTTGTCACCACCCCGTTATAAAGGGGACGCTCATAGCATCCATCCATCCATCCATCCTTTAGGGAGCCTACATGAACGGCCGTTTTTAGGGTGGAGACAGCTTAATAAGTGCCTTCAAGAAACTCAGCCAAAACCAGCGGGCAACGGGGCACGCTGTTGCCAGCTTCCACCAAATTCAGCATAGTTTTCTGTGCGCCACCATTTTGGAGCCAGCCGCCGCTCCCTCCAGCTACGCGAAGTACGGCGCAACAAAAAGGAGCCGACCGAGTGACAGCGGCGGTTCTCAGGGTCGTGTAAGCGACCCAGTTCTCAAAGAGAGCGCACGAAGAAATTCGCAGCCCACACACAAACACTTGCGACATAATACTGAGGTTACGCTGACACGAACGCAAGCGTGGCAACAGCTCAGACTAGCGAGCGCGTCTCCGTACGAAGGCGCGGACGCGTCCCGTTTGTGGGCTTCCTACTCGCAATGCGTGGACGCAGCAACGACAACTTCGGTTATCTACTCAATCGCGAACACCGCGAAACACATATACGTGTGCCGCAGGAAAAAACAGTGAACGAAATACGCAGTACTCACAGAGCAAATACGAGACGCACTGGTGGGCTCCCAGCCGTCTCGCTTCACTTGAGCCAGCCATCGTTGTCGTCGGCCAGGGCTCGCTGGGAAGCGGAACATTTTCACCCCCTTTCTGTTGTGGTTAGTGCAGAGCGGTACGCAGCATCCAGGCATTCTAAGGCTTCACCGGCAGCGTTTAACACGCTACCGCAACGTTCTACCCCGTATTATTGAGAACTAAACGCAAATGGGCGTAGACGCAGTGCGGGCACCAAGATGGGGCGACAGCGCAGCGTTGCTGTCTGGCAACATTGTATTTTGGCGGGCGGCGGTGCGTTGGCGGCATGTAGTGGGTCAAAGGCGGACATCACCCTAAAAACGGCCTTTCATGTAGGCTCCCTAATGCCCTTAAGAATATTATTAATAGATGGTGTTGGTGGTTTTCACAGTATATTTACGGAGTGAATGATGATGAGTGGGGCGAAGTTTTTGTCCACCCATCCATCCGTGTATCCGTTCATTCGCCCATCCGTGCTACCGTCTGTCTGTCTGTCTGTCTGTCTGTCTGTCTGTCTGTCTGTCTGTCTGTCTGTCTGTCTGTCTGTCTGTCTGTCTGTCTGTCTGTCTGTCTGTCTGTCTGTCTGTCTGTCTGTCCGTGCATGCTTCCGTCCGTCCGTCCTTCTGTGCTTATGTCCATTCGTCTGTTCATCCATGCTTTCGTTCATCCATGCGTCTATCTGTCTGTGCTTCCGTCCATTCGTTCGTCCTTGCTTCCATCCATCCGTTCGTGCTTCTCTCTGTCCGAACATCCGCCCGCACGGACGGATGAACACACAGATGGACGGAAGCATGGACGGAAGCACAGTCGGGCTGACGGACGGAAGCAAGAACAAATGAACGGAGGCGTGGATGGACGGACGGATAGACGCTTCCGTTCGGAAGGAAACAGAGAGGGACATGTGGAAAATCGGAATGCTTACGATGTTCAACACTGGAGACCTACTAAGCATTCAAGCAGGAAATTGCAAAAGAAAATATCAGCAATAATTCTCGCGAGAGTTCTCTGCTGTTCGAGGCAAGAACGGGATTATTTGCGGACCAAGACGTACCGAGTCAAATATGAAGGCACAGATACGTGATGTACTGCGTGTGGAGAGGAAAAGGAAACGGCTGAACATTTCATAATGTTTTGTAAACGGCTCCTTTCTATAGTCCAAGATAATGGCACACATTTTCTCAAAGTACTGGGGTTTAGACAGTGGCGGCAAAAGATACTTTAAACGGGCAGAAATAACTATGAGGAGGCTAAGTGATTGGTGGCTATACATTCAACGTGCGAATGAAATTCAATCCTTCAACCATGGTGATAGTACTTAACTTTATGGCTAGGTGGGGTGAGCCGCCACCCGACTTTAGGGGCACAGCCGGATCCATCCATCCAACCATCCATCCATTCATCGTGCCCTCTGCTACACTCTTTCACACCACATGCTCTGGTTGCTAGGGGCGAGGATAAGGGCGTGCGCCTGCAGCTGTTGCTATGGAAGATGGAGTGAGAGCGGAAAGATAACGCCTGCAGGCGCGCGGACAACGCCGGCTGCCTAACATAGCCAGGCTAAAAAATGCATTCACATTTAAAACAAGAAGACAGCAGCTGACTCGCATGATCACAGTATAGCAGGTTGTTATTATTTAAAGTAATCAGCATATATTGTTTCTGGACAAAACATAAAACAAACGAGCTCTTACAGTTTAGCTCTAGATATCTCGTAATCATTTTTTCTTCAAATTTCCCCATTATAAAAAATCATTACACTAGAGGTTGTTTCTCCTTCGGAGCCTCTTCATTAGGTCATTGTTACCGGGATATCTGTTCTGCTGTACAAAGATTCTTAATCGAATCAAGGAAGTTTTGATTGCAAATCTCTTGATTACTAAAATTTGATTTCTTCTAACCAATATAAAATTCATTAGATATAAAAGTAATATGTAATCCACTATCTAAATAATGGAATCTTGGTCAATCCTCCAGAGTGGGTGTGGTCCATTCGTTTAGATCATCATCATCATCATCATATTTACCACTTCCCACTATAAACCAAACTATAAAATAAAGCTATTGAGCTAGAATGGTGCGCGTATGCGAAATAGACTTCTTTTTTTTTTGTCAAAAATGCTTCAAAATTAGTAAGAAAAAGCATGCCTCAATAACAAAATTTTCCAAATGCGAGCACGTGAAAAAATAGTTGCAATCACAGTACAAGAGATAAAGCAAGCGTCTCTTCTGCAAGAAGAGACGCTGACAACTAAAAGGGAAGAAACGAGAATGTTTTACAAATAGTAGTTCAAGAGAAAATATGTCTTAAGGAAGCCTGGAAATGCGTGGGTGGTACTGAGTTTACCCCGTGCCCTGAAGGGGCCTCTCACCTAGGCTGCACATCGCAATCATCCTTCGCGGCCCGCCGATAAGTCGATGTTGCCGACAACGTCAGCAAAATGTGACACGCCAGCACCGCACTATAGCCGGTCAAAATTTGAAACGTAAGATTGAACGCTATATCTCCCACAGTTTGAAAAAAATCTCTTGAAAACAGGCGCCCATCTTGATAACCGGCCCTGCTTGCTGACCGAGGCCAGTCTCACCTCCAGGCCAATCACCTCGGTCACAGACATGGATGCTATAGATAACGGCAGCGGGTGGGACAGGCGTCTTAAAATTAAAACGAAACACGCGAGCTGTGGCCAAGCGATGCAAAACGATATGCCAACGTGCTTCATCACAGAAATCGTTCTTTATTTAAAAACGGAAATGGTGACACTATCTCCTGGCAGTTTTCTGTTTATCAAGGACCCCCTTTTTTGATAGAGTGCACTGGCATGTACTTTTGTGCAGTTCGGCCACAGCTCGCATGAACCGTTTTGCTTTTGGGGCACCGCTACGTATACTACATCAATTGTTCCCGACCGAAGGCCTGAATTGCATTAAACAGTTTGAAAAATTGCATTATTTTCTACTGTTTACCTTCCGGAACCACGATATCATGTGACGCACGCCCTAGTGGCGAACTCCGAAAATTTCTACCACCAAGGGTTTCCTTAACGCGCCCTAATTGAAACAATCTGAATCGGTGGCGATTTGTATTTGTAAACCACCGCGCCGGGACGACTTAGTCCGAGTTTAGGTGCCAGTTCGCTTGAGTCGACTCATGAGAGAGTTCGCCGACATGGGGTGCAAGCTTCGCAAGTTTGATATTTTCTTCCATCTCTCCAAGATCATTTCAATACAATTCCGCCTCCTTATACTCACTTAGACTCACATCAATAGTAATATCTGGAGTTGTGCGTCCTAAATTCACGATACGATCGCGAGACGCCGTAGTGAAGGGCTCCCGAAATTTTGACCAGCTGTTGTGCACGAAAATCGCACTACGCACAAGCATCTGTACTATTTCGACGCCATCTAAATGCGACCGCCGCGGTGGCAATCGAAACTACGATTTGCGGGACGACAGCCTATGCATCAGAATCCGATCGAGCCGTGGGTCTGAGTCTGAGTGAGTTCGGGCACGCATCACCATCAGCAGTTAAATGCAGGCCGGCAAAATTTTCTGTGTTTCTAATAGTTCCTGTCCCGCCCGCGCTTGGTCTCAAATAGTGTACATCGCACGGATGATTGGGCTGGTTGGCATTGGTTCATTTTTTTAATTGAATAAGGGCGCGTGCACAGATACGAACACTAGAACAAGAGTGCTTTGTCATGTGCACTTTCTTGTTCTAGTGTCCGCGTCAGTGTGCGCGCGCTTGTTCGGTTAAAAGACAGTGTACATACTTTCCACGCGTAAAAAATGGTTAGCACCGGAACACACCTTCAGCTGTCCGGTATATCGGCATTTATACGCTGGAATTCAAAACCGCAAATGTAGAAGCACGTGGCGTTCTCAAAGGCCATTCGAAGTTGAACTGACCTTTGGTGGCGAGGAGAGTGGACGCAAGTTGCAACAGTACGAGTGCTTGGAGGAGATGCCGGAGCATGGCGCAGCCTTCGTACGAACAGGTGTCCACACAAAAAGTCCACCGCTGCACTCGTTCGAAACTTTCTGGGGCAGCACAGACAAAGCTACGTGGACAGAGCTTCTGTACACGTGTTAGTGCGTGTAGTACTACATTTGCTGAAGGTATGGATTTTTAATGTTTTGTGGTTCTTTTTGTGCGCACAGACTGACGGGTCTTTCTTATGCGCTCTCAAGGAAAACGCCAATGAGAAGGGCTTTTTTTTTTTTTTAAGGTCGGTGCTTGCTATTCGATAGTCGTCCTCAGTTCGGCGCTCTTTTCCCCGCCTTATCGCCGTTTACCCGACACTTCCAGGTCAAGAGCGACATACGCGTTATCAACATATAAGGAAGCATTCCTGATAAAAAAAAGTGGCCAGTTGTGAGTAAAAAAACACAAATCTCATGCCATCGAGTCCACTAACATCGCTTAGGCACAAGAAGAGACACTTTTAACTCTTTTGTATGCGTGTTTTTATACTGCTCATATTTGTTATGAGATATGATAATAATTTAGTGCTACGAGATAGAATGGTGTTGCAAGAAGTTAGTCATCCATCAATTTGATGAAAAATTATTTCAGCCACCAATAAGTTCATTAATGCAGCAGTGATGGAACAGATACCTGGAATCATAGCTGAGCTTCCCCATAGCGCAAATTGCTTCAATTTATTGCTGAAGTGGTGGTGTTTGAGGTGCGCGTGCTAACCTAGACAAACTGTGGCCCGTACCAGCATACCTGTGAAACATTTGCTTTTGCGGGTATGTGCCACACGACTGGCGGAAAGGGTTTGAAGCCGTACGCGACAACATTGTGACATTATTCATGTCACAGCCAGCGAGTCATATTCATCAAATCATTTTACCCTCCCATACTAATTTTGGTTTACGCGAAGTTAAGGGGACATTTACTAAAGCATAGATAGATAGATAGATAGATAGATAGATAGATAGATAGATAGATAGATAGATAGATAGATAGATAGATAGATAGATAGATAGATAGATAGATAGATAGATAGATAGATAGATAGATAGATAGATAGATAGATAGATAGATAGATAGACAGACAGACAGACAGACAGACAGACAGACAGACAGACAGACAGACAGACAGACAGACAGACAGACAGACAGACAGACAGACAGACAGACAGACAGACAGACAGATAGATAGATAGATAGATAGATAGATAGATAGATAGATAGAGATAGATAGATAGATAGATAGATAGAATAGATAGATAGATAGATAGATAGATAGATAGATAGATAGATAGATAGATAGATAGATAGATAGATAGATAGATAGATAGATAGATAGATAGATAGATAGATAGATAGATAGATAGATAGATAGATAGATAGATAGATAGATAGATAGATAGATAGATAGATAGATAGATAGATAGATAGATAGATAGATAGATAGATAGATAGATAGATAGATAGATAGATAGATAGATAGATAGATTCAAAGCGTCTGCAGAATGCGAAGAAATCGCCGAGCCACGCCAGATCTCTGGACTGTTTTCGAAAAATGCACTATTCAGTTTCAGTAATGGTGAAACATCAATTGTGCGTGCAATGTTGGATATCTTATTTTGTAAACGCACATATGTACTATATATGGTGCTGTTTGCATCGTTGCGCAAGTGTAAGGAACTAGTTATATAAAACTTGTGTGATTGTTCAACATATAATTGTGCTTACAACATCTTAACATATAGTTAGCGTCATTTCGTAACATCATCGCTCAAAAACAAAATTTACAACACCATCACCTTCCCTCCGCATGCTTCGTATAACGTCGATTCCCTATGTACGTGGGATCTGCCGAATTTTCTCAAGAAAAGACATCGCTGTAAAGAGTGTTTGGGCATATTTACTATTACGTCGTCCGGGTAACAGCGTTACCAGGAAGAAGAAAAGTTCCTTTGTCGAATCTTTGGCTCCAGTGACATTCTCGGTAATGATTTCTAGAGTCTATTACGTATTTTCGAGTGATAGTATTAGAAGTAAAAACGCTTGATACTTGTGCTCACCCTGGGCCACTAAAAACCTGAACAAAATACGGAAATCTAATGCTAAAGTTTCAACTGTCTACACTTGTAAATCGCAGAACTAGGCAACACAACATTGACATATCTAGCATATCACCAAAACAATTGCGATTTGTGTTTTTATAACGATGTCATCTGGCGACTACCCTTTTTTTATTACTGCATTGTAATATTTCATATTTTTTCCTTTGTTTTAATGCACATCGTGAAACACTCTTTTATTTCGGTTGTCTCTAGCCGCACGTCTTCTGGGCTACCCTATATATGTACTAGGGAGTCAGGGATATACTCAAGCGGATCTCACAGCGTTTACCTGCCGTCCACTTAACGTGTGCTTGTCGTGAAATAAAAAGTTCAATTTCAACCCGAACCTTCGCGGAACTGGAAACACACCGCAGAGCCGCGAGAAACATGTGTTTCCCGATTTACCCCCGTATTCTAGAACGTCCCTTCACTCAACGCTTCACTTTCACTTGAGAGAGCCGATAGAAGCGCCCTCCCTAGGCACGGCAAGTGACTGCATATCAGCGATAATTTGGTGCGATTCTCGAGCAGCGCAGCGTCATTTTCAGCCGAGAAGTGGCGCAGTGCTCAACTCCGTCTAGTGAAGGGTGAAAGTCGAGTCGAGGAGCGTTCGTGAATACGCGGGTTAGTCATCTTCGCCGAATGCATGGTTGACTTGCTCGGTGTAGCTCACTGCAGCTTCCGTTCTGAGCTCGCCACGACTTGCCGTCTTCTTATCGTTCCCGTAGTTGGCACGCCAGCCGAGTGAGACAACTTCGCGCGATCCAACGTGCAATATCGCCGAGCGAGGGGCGAGAAGGAAACGCTATGAACACAAGGCAACCACTTCCATGCACTTCGCCTCGTTTAAAACTCACCAACTAAGAAATAGAAAAACACATATAAACAAAAGAAAACTTATTTACAGTGGTATCGAATGTATTTATTTCCAAGAACTTGCGCAAGCTAACAAACGCGAACATCCACATGAACCTCACTCCGTTCATTTAGATCTTAGGATGACCGGCAACCGCTACGAGCATGTAAGTTCCTTGAAACCGAAACTAGCGCCGACTTTTCGGGGCCCGATTACAGCACGTAACCGAAACGCGAGAAATCACGGCAAGCTCAACACTTGGTGCAGACATTGCCCGCGCGTTTTATGAATAAATTAGTGGCCAGGAGAAGATAGCGCCCGTAGGAAGGACTGTGAAAACGAGGAAATAACCGTTCAGTTAGTACATTTATTTTTTATTGGTAAAGCAACGTAGTCATGTGAGAAGTTATCCAAACGTGCAGGTGGCACCCTTTTGTCCCTTCGAATCGCACGCAAAGGCGTCCTCGAACGCCCTAAGACGCTGCGATGACGCCATGCAGCGGCCCTGTCCGCCAAGTTGGGGTACGCAGTCCTGTGGAGCAATATGTATCGGGGTCAGCCAGGAAACACTATACCGAACATCAATTTGCATTGGTCAGTGCTATAGTATTTAAGAGCTAGCACTAGAGATTATTAAGCCTTACTTAGACAGAAGCACTGGACGCGTAATTCCTGACAGGAAGCAAACAATGACTACGAACAATTGATTTGTGGGGTTTAACGTCCCAAAACCACCATATGATTATGAGAGACGCCGTAGTGGAGGGCTCCGGAAATTTCGACCACCTGGGGTTCTTTAACGTGCACCCAAATCTGAGCACACGGGCCTAAATGACTACGAACAAGCCGGAGCGCATGGAAAACCATAAAGTTTCATGAATATACACTAGAGGAAACTGTGGCGCTAGTGTCTATGGAAGCTGAAATGCACGGCGCTTCAGCGAGCATGGGAATCATGAGTACATAGTACACGGATTTGTCTAATCTTCGTACTTCTCGCTTCATGTGGGATCGTGTGGCTTGGAGCTGTTTTCTCACGAAACAAAAATCTCCAAATGTTCAGCGCTTGCGCTTCACCACCATAATCATTTAGGCTTACCATTTCAAATTGGGTAACGAAGCTAAGGGTTGGTTCTTTCTTTCGAAACAACACCGAAACACATCAATAAACGAAGCCACACGTACGATTCGCCCCCCCCCCCTCCCCGCAAGTATACGAAGACTAGGCAAATCCGTGTACTATACCCCATCATTCCCATGGTCGCTGAATGATCACAACGCCAGAGTTCCCTCTTGTTAATTTAATTGAACTCTATGAAGAAAAGGACACAGTGTGGGTGCTGTTTAACAACTGAAGTTTTATGTAACAAAATTTAACGCAACAATAACCAAAAACATGCGCGTGCAGAAAAGTCGTATGACGTCGAAGAAATGCTTCAGCTTGCGCACCTCTCAATGTATATACAAACGGGCGGTTCAGATATACAACCATCATCAAATTTAAACTTTATCTAACGAAGAATTCTGCTCATCATTGGCATATGCGCAGGTTGTCCCTTCAGAGGTGGAAGGCATAGGTTGTCCCTTCAGAGGTGGAAGGCAAGCCTAACTAGAGGGGACTTTCAGCGACCATGGGAATGATGGGCAGTAAACAAATTTGCCCTGTCTTCGTTCTTGCGGGCTTCGAACGCAGTAGTGACTTTGTTTATTCGAGTGCTTTACTTTTGTTTTGAATAAAGGAACAAATTGTTTTGAATTTCGTGACTCGATTTGAATTGGCGAGCGTGATAGGCCAAGGTCGTGAAGCGTATAACGGCTAAACCTTTGCTCATTGTGGTCTCCTCACAAAGCGGCTCCAAGACAAGTGAAGCCAGAAGGAGCCGAAAGTATAAAGATTAAACGAATCAATGTGCTATAGCACATTGATTTGTTTAATTGATTAGCACAATGATATAGCACAATGATTCGTTTAGCGAGCATGGGAATGATGGGTATACCCATCATTCCCATGCTCGCTGAACGTCATGCCTTGCAGCTCTATGGACACGAGCGCCAGAGTTCCGTCTAATGCATTTAGAGCAAGCTCTATGGTGGGAGAGAGGGGGTCAAGTTCTAAAGATAACATGCTTCACAGAGGATGAAAAAAAAATGAAAATGTCTTGATGACATGCT